ACGTATAGGGACGTATAGGGACGTATAGGGATGGAGAGAGACAGATGGAGCCACACAGGGAGGGATGGAGCCAAGACATATAGAACATACGGGGACGTATAGAGACACACAGGGACGTATAGAGACACACAGGGACATATAGAGACACACAGGGACATATAGAGACACACAGGGACGTATAGAGACACACAGGGACGTATAGAGACACACAGGGACATATAGAGACACACAGGGACGTATAGAGACACACAGGGACGTATAGAGACACACAGGGATGTATAGAGATACACAGGGACGTATAGAGACACACAGGGACGTATAGAGACACACAGGGACGTATAGAGCCGTGTTGGGGGCGTATAGGGACACGTAGGGGTACGTAGAGACAAGGTGCATGGAAATACATAGGGGTATATAGGGAAGTATAGGGACACAGAGGGATGTATAGGGAGATATAGGGATGTATAGGGAGATATAGGGATGTATAGATGTATGTTGGGATATATAGAGACAAGATATATAGAAACGTGTAGGAATACATAGGGGCATATAGGGTTATATAGAGATGTATAGAGACATATAGGGATATATAGACAGACATGTATAGGGACATATAGAAACATATAGAGACATATGAGCATATAAAGACATGTACAGGGATATATAGGGATGTATAGAGACATATAGGGATATATATAGACATATATAGGGACATATAGACATATATAGGGACATATAGAGACAAGACATATAGGAACATGTAGGAACATAAACATGTAGGGACAGAAAGATACATATAGGGATAGGGACAAGACATATAAGACATGGGGGGATATATAGGAACATAAAGGGATGTATGGGGACAAGACATGTAGGGATGTATAGGGACATATAGAAATGTATAGGGACATATAGGGGGATATAAGGATATATAGAGATATGTAGGGACATAGGGGGACAAGATGTGTGGGAATGTATAGGGACATATGGGGACGTATAGGGGGATATGGGGGCATATAGAGACATACAGGAACACACAGGGGCATATAGGGACATGTAGGGCCATGGCATAGAGGAACGTATAGGGACATATAGGAAGGTACAGGGGGGTATAAGGACATGCAGGGCCATATAGAGACATAAAGGAACATACAGGGGCATATAGGGACATATGGGGACAAGACATGTAGGAACGTATGGGGACATAAAGAAATGTGTAGGGGCATATAGGGGGATATAAGGGACATACAGGGACATACAGGGGTATAGAGGGACATGTAGAGACATATAGGGACACATGGGGACAAGACATGTAGGAACGTATGGGGACATATAGAAATGTATAGGGATGTATAGGGGGATATAAGGGACATACAGAGGTATAGAGGGACATATAGAGACATATGGGGACAAGATGTAGAGAAACGTATAGGGACATGTGGAGGCGTTTAGGGCCATATAGGGCCATATAGTGCCATATAGCGCCATATAGTGCTATATAGTGCCATATAGTGCTATATAGTGCCATATGGCGCCATATAGTGCCATATACTGCCATATAGGGCCATATAGTGCCATATAGGGCCATATACTGCCATATAGGGCCATATAGTGCCATATAGGGCCATATAGTGCCATACAGGGCCATATAGGGCCATACAGTGCCATATAGGGCCATATAGTGCCATATAGGGCCATATAGTGCCATATAGCGCCATATAGTGCCATACAGTGCCATATAGTGCCGTATAGCGCCGTATAGGGCCATATAGTGCCATACAGTGCCATATAGGGCTATATAGTGCCGTATAGGGCCATATAGCGCCATATAGGGCCATATAGCGCCATACAGTGCCATATAGGGCTATATAATGCCATATAGGGCCATATAGGGCTATATAATTCCGTATAGGGCCATATAGCACCATACAGTGCCATATAGGGCTATATAGCGCCATATAGTGCCATATAGGGCTATATAGTGCCATATAGGGCCATATAGGGCCGTATAGGGCCCCACAGGCGCCCATAGGGTACCTTGTAGAGGCGCTGCTCCTCGGGCGGGCGCTTGAGGATGCCGTGGACGATGCGCTTGAGCTCCAGCACCGTGCTCGACTCCTTCGCCTCCGTGAAGATCGTCGTCTTGTGCCGCCGGATCATCAGGAACACGTCCTATAGGGGCAGGGGGGTATGGGGGCTATAGGGGGTGGCTGGGGAGCTCTAGAGGGGCTCTATGGGGTGTCTATGGGGCTCTAT